TGTTCTTTTCGGATCTCGTTTAAGATTTGTTTTAGTTTTAATAAGATTAATAATAATCAGATTCATTCTAGTTTGTCTGAATTTCCTCCATGCAAAAATAAAATAAAATAATGTGAAATGATGCAGCCCTGGCTCAGTGAGAGCACAGCCACCTTCTCAGCAGGTGACCCCAAGGTTTTGTCTGGCAGGGGGACTGACTTTCATCCTTCTTAGCCCCTAGAAGAACGAGACACAAATGAAGCCAGCCTGCCGAAGCAGACACTTCCATCCATACTCCTGGCTCTCTAGACTACAGCACCCATAATTTCTGATGGGCAGCCATGGTGGCTGGGGCATCTGGGAGCTGAGGTCTGGAATGCCATCTGCAGGCACCAGGTGGCGCTTCCCCAAGCCCCCGTGGTTTCAGAGATGGGGTGGTCTTTGCAGCAGAGCTGCGTGTGCCGCAGAGGCAGACGCTTGTGGCCTTGGGAAGAAAGCAGCGGAGCCCCAAGAATCAACCCTCAGTGGCAGGAAGGGGCAGGGAACCCTTGCCCAAGAGGACTAGCACCTTGGGGGGCTGGCAGAAGGAGTGTCCCATGCCAGGCCGTTGGGCTGCCTTTTCCCTTCCGGTGTTCCATGGAGCAGCATGTTCTGCCTCTGGGATCCCATCCTGCACTGCCCCCCTTTTAAAGGAGTGCTGCCAGAGGTCGGCTCTTTGCCTGCAAACATGGGCACCGAGCGATGGTCTCCGCAGCGCACCTGCGGAGGGAGGGCAGGGCAGGGACAGGCAATGGAATGGGAGACTCCAGAGGACCTCGCTCGGAACGTTCTTTGACAGACAGCGTGCCCTGTAGGACTAAGCAGGCGTTTTTCAGTGGAGTGCCCCAAAGTTCATGGTTTAGGTCAATGTTCTGGTTTACCTGCAAGAAAGGATGCAATTCCGGATTATGCACTCAACATTTCGATGGTGACAGTAAGATGCTGGCAAAGCATAGGCAGGTTGGCGCGAAGGTGACGGAGACCGTTTCGCGGGTGAGAGAGAGTTCTTGTCCCTTCATTTCCAAGCAGATGGGAATTGGCTGGGTCAGAAATAGCTTTCTTGGAAGTCATTTCTGTGCTGGTCCGTGCCAAGAAGAGAACCGGGCTGACTTCCTGCAATGCAACAGCAGCTTGAAAGCACTGCCAAGCACCCGGATAAGTGGCAGTGAGTTTGTGATTGGAATGAATGGCTGCCATGGAGGGAGTACTGCTTGGCAACAGGACATATGTCCCAGTTTTGCTTCTTTTGCTAGTTTTTACAAGAGGCCGTGTAGCAGGTGAGGCAAAGGGTCCCTCTTTGCCCGGGATGCGGAAGGACCGGTGCTCATCGCTCCTGGGAGATCCTCCGTATTGGAACCTTTCAGCCCATGAGCAGAATTCCAAGTTGGAGACGTTCTTGGGGTGCATTCCAAGCTGCAAAGGTTGCCAGCATATTTCCTCTTGCAGGCTTCCTGCAAGGAGTTAATCAATTTCTGCTTTTTAGGGGTAGGGGAAGACTGCCACATCGTGTGGAAACAACCAGCTGATCTGTGGCTGGGGGTAGCCAGGGGCAGGGGCAGGCAGTGTGGTAAATATTCCACCTTGCTCCGGACTGGGTTTGGCTCCCAAGACTGAAGTTTGGCCCTGTGGGCTTGGTGAAGATGTGCCCACAGGGCGATTGGCTCACTCCTGATGAAGTTTAGCTTGTGTGAGAAATTCACTTTGGTTTGTTTTCAGCCAGGATTTACCTGGTCTGTGCCGCACAGACTCCAGTGCTCTCTGCAGTCAAGTCCAAACATTTCAGAACTAACAGATGTTTGCACAATCTGCTTTTTTGGAAAGTGCATGAACAAGGTTTCCTCCACCAGAGAAAAATGCAAAGCAGTTTAAAAACTGATGTAGACCTTTGGGGGAAAGTGTCCCAAGATGGAGGCAAATCTTCCTAGAAAAAGAAAAGAAACGCTATGGATTGTTATCTGATGTGGTCCCGATTCGGAACATGCTTTGAAATGGAACTCGGTGTCCCTTTTCTTGGGCTTTCCTGATCGACACATTCCTGCAGGTGGCACAGCCAGGACTGTGATCGTGCAAGGGCGGTGGGGCGGGGCTGCCCAGCTTTCAAGTGCTTTACCTGCCCAACTGGTATTTGGTCTTAATTCGGCCTTGTGAACTGAGCCAGGCGTTTTGAGCCATGGGACTGGGGTCTCATTTCTCATTCTCTTTCCATGGTCCTGTTTCTAAGCCAGGCAGGCCCCATCCTTTAAGTTGTCCTCAGTCATCTCAGGGACCGGCTGGAGGCGATCGGACTTCATTGCTTGACCAAGCAAAAGCTCAGTCCAGGCAGAAACCCTTCTGGGACGCGTGTCCACCAGCCCCCAAAACCCATCTTCCCCAGCAACTGGAGCAACTGGATTCCCCGATCCTGCCTGAGCCCCTTTTTAAGCCCTCCGACTCCAGGCAGCGGGTCCCATAGCTTAACAGGGCGTTAGGTGAAGAGGGCCTTCCTTTCTCGGTCCTGCATCTCCCACCATTCCGTTTCATGGGACGTCCCCTTTGGGTCCCGTGAGGGAGAAAAAGGCTCCTGCCCCACTTTCTGCACACGAGGCCTCATTCTGTGCACCCCTGTCACGTTTCCCCCCTGCTCTAGACGACCGCAGCCGTGGTGACCCTTCCTCAGGCGGGGCTGCTCAGAGTCCCTCATCACTGCAGCTGCCCTCTTTGCGCTTCTCCCAACGTGCAATGCCCTTTTTAGAGCGGTGGCAGATCGCTGGAGGCTTCGCTGTTTGCGTTCCTCCCCCGAGAGAAATGGCTACTTCTCTCTGTTAGGCGGTGACGGATCCATAAGGGACCTCGTGATCGCCGAGATTCCTCCGGAGCCTTTGGTGAGAGATGTTATCAAAGGCCTTTTGGGCGGTCCAGGTAAACAGTGCCTCCTGGATCCCTGCCGTCCGTCCAGGTCTTTGCTGACACTCCCAAAGAACTCGGGAAGGTTAGTGAGGCGAGAGAGAGACTGCCGGGCCTGGATAGGCCGAATAGTCACCGTCAGCTGCGGCTGTAGGCCAGAAGTCCAAACATTTGGGTGCTTGGATACGAATATCCTCGGGATTCTCCAGAAAAGGAAGGCTTGCCTGGACCGAGGGCTTAACACTGCCTCAGGCTTGGTTCCGGGCATCTCGCCCTCCCCTGGCCCTGAAAGCGCAATGAGGCATGACTAACGCAGGTGCTTGCGTCTGGATACGTGATGAGCGGAACCTGGAGTGCCTGTTTGGCAAATGCTGCCTTTGCTTCTGCACAGAGTCTCCGCAAAGGCCTTTTTAAGCCATGAACAATTGTTCATCAAATGCATCAGCTCTCTTCCTCTTAAACGAAGCAGCAGCAGCAGCTCCAGGTTGTGGACACGACCCTGTCGTTATTTTAATTTCTGCGTTGCCCAGCCGCTGGAGCTCCCTGGGTTGTGCACAGCAGTGAAACATGTAAAAACAGAGTAAAACACCCAGCGTCCTTAAGAGCCGCTTTGCCCACCGGGATAAAATCCCATGGAAAATGTAAAGGGCATTGCATGGAGATCGCCCAAGGTTCTTGGCTCTCCACGCACGGGAGCAGAAAGGAACTCCTGAGCTGCCGAACGCCCATGCAAGCGCTCCGTGCCAGGCGGGCTTAGCCTGAGAGAAAGCAGGCTGGGGGCCAGGGGGCCGAGCCAGGAAATCACCCCTAGACCCGGTCCCTCACATGTCCCTGAGCTCACCCCGTTTGGTCACTGGCCCAGCAGTCTGCCTCTGGCCGTGTGCGGTGCTGAGCAGCTTTGCAAATGCAGTTACACGCCAGCGGGCGAAGATGGGTGTGCGTGCCCCGGCCCCCAGCCTGGGCTTTCCTTTCCAGGGCAAATGAGCAGGCAGGGCTTCCCCCGTCCCTTGGCTCCTAATTCCCCCCTGCAAATCGCATTTCTGGTCCCCTCTGCCCATTCTGGAATTGAAACCAAGTCTCTGGGGCAGCCCTGCATTCGGCCGAGTGAGCCAGTGCCCTGAATTTGGCCGAGCGGCTGTGGTGTAGTGGAACCGGGGCTTGCCGGGACACAATCCCTGTGCCTTTTCAGGAGCAGGGACAAACATGCCACCCCCACTATGCAGAATTCCCCGTTCCCTCTGGGCTTGGCTGCAGTGCTCACTGTTGGATTTTCCTAATCGACCCGCTTGTCGCTCCTGGTTGTATTTGGGAGCCGAGGTCTAGAAGGGGCAGGTAAGCCCTTCAGAAGACTTGCTCCAGGTAGAGATGAGAACCGCCAGGCCTGCTTCCTTGATATGGGTCTGCCCGCAGCTTGGGCTCTCCGGGGCCGGGGGGTCATGGCTGTGCGGGATGCCGTGACGAGCGTCGGCCTTTCAACGGGTGCCTTGCCAGGGGGCCAAGACTGGGACAAGGGGGGGTTCCCAGGTGGAGGAAGGATTTCGTGTTTAGTGGGAAGCCTCTCGGTTGGGGGGCAACCGGTGAGTTGCGTTACACTGTGCCTCCTCCTCACTGAGCCTGGGCTGCCGGCTTTCAGTCCCGCTTCCTTCGTGCCCGCATCCCCACAGGTTTTCAGGTTGGTGTGAAGGGCAGCTAGGGACAGACCGCCTGGCCGCAGCTGCTGGGCCCCCAAAGCCTCAGCGCCGCCTCCCTCTCCTTGTTTGCTCCAGAATCAGGCCCCGCGGCCCAGAGGTGCCTCTGGAGAGATGCGGGCTCAGCCCTCCGCTGAAGAGCCCGTTTGGTACCATGGCTTGCATGTGGACCGGGGGCTGGGAGACCCAGGTTCTAGTCCCCACGCAGCCACAAAGCTCACCGGGGGACTTTGGGCCAGGCACCGCCTCCCAGCCCGGCCTACCTGGCCGGGCCGTTGTGTAAGATAAGGTTGAGAGGAGGAGGAGGAGAATGATGTAGGCCTCTTGAAAGGAAAAAAGGCAGGGTAGAAATAAATCAGATAAAACAGACCCCGTGGCTCTGTTCTGACCTGTCCCTTCAATGCAGGTGGGTTTTCGGAGAAGAATTATGAGTGGAGCTCCGAGGAGGAGGAGTCGGAGAAGGCCCGCCCAGTGCAGGTGCTCATCGTGAAGGACGACCACTCCTTTGAGCTGGACGAAGCCGCCCTCGGCCGCATCCTGCTCTCGGAAGCCGTCCGCGACCGGGAGGTGGTTGCCGTCTCCGTGGCAGGGGCGTTCCGGAAGGGAAAGTCGTTCCTCATGGACTTCATGCTGCGATACATGTACAACATGGTAGGCGCATGCTGGAGCATGGAACGCCCGTGGCGTGTCGGCAGGGGCCCTGACACCACACTGGGCGAGGTGGGGACGATCTGCTGGTCGCGGAGGGCTGAAATTGGCCCAGCCCTGGGCTTGCCCATGTGGGTCTGACGGGCTGCAGTGGGGAAGCGGGGGTGGGCCTCTCTCTCTGCTGGAAGGGAGCCCCGTCTTACCGCAGAGTCCGCCTGCAGCTGGCGTGGCGCTGAGATTCAGGGTGCTCGGGACGGATGGGTCCGTGCCCTGCCTCGGTTTCCCAGCCGCCGTCGTGCACGTCTCTGCAGCATGTGCCAGGCGTGCGCGAGCATCGCACGTGTTCTCCCCGCCTCGTCGCCCCCCTGTAAAGCAGGCCAGGGGTCCCCTGCACTTGGGTGGATGCGATGCCAGGGAGGAGCCCCTCACTAAGTCCAGACCCAGGAAGTGTGCAGAGCCGTGACGTGGATGCCGAGGCGGATCCAAGACAGAGGGCAACAAGGGTGGTGAAATCCGCGGCAAATTAAATACCCAGTAAATGTGATGTGGACCTTCGGCTGCTTTTTCACAGCCACAGTTTATTGTGGCTGCTCTCCGTGGGCCCCGGTGATCAGACTTGGCCTCAGTGGCCCCAGCCGGGGATGCGGGCTCCACTCTGGCCCCGGTGGCGCATGGCAGGGCTTCTCCGGCGCATGAGTTGGAGTGTGAGTCAGCCACGCGATGGGGCTGCAGAGACGAGAAATGCAGCGTTGGGCCGCCTTCTCTGAACCCAGGGAAGCCCTCCTGGTGCCACCGGGCAGGCCTGGTCCACGTCCAGTCCTGGCCACCACCCTGCAGATCCACTGGGACGAGTTCAGAGAAGTCCAGCCAAGATGAGCCACGGTCTGGAATATGAGTGCTGGGCGTACAAATGGACGGAACCGAGTGTATTTGGCGCTGCAGAAAGGCGCCTGCCTTTCGAGTGCCTAAGAAGCCCCACTGAGAGGACTGCAATTTCTCCTCTAAGACTGTAGCAGGAGAACCGATCCGTGTGAGTCCCGGGAAGGCAGGTTTCGGCCGAACGTCAGGAAAACCTTCACAGCTGCCAGACAAGGCAGCCGACTGCCCCGGGGGGGGGGGGGGGGGTCGTCTGTCGTGGTGGCATTCAGGCAGTGCCTGGTGACCATCAGAGCTGCTTTGAACAGGGTTCCTGCACTGGACAAGGGGTCGGACTCAGTGGCCTCAACGGCCTGTTCCAGCTCTGGGATTCTAATCTGTACATCAACAGAAGGAGCTAGTCCTCATGGTTGCTGTGTTTAAGGCTGAGTCTAAAAGGCAGTCTAAAAAGGACTTTGAACGACTGCAGCTTGCTACTGCCCTCAGTACTGTGTTTGTGAACAATAATAGTAATGACAATTACATTTTTCCACCAAACTGGCTTGCATAATTAAAAATTTAGAAACAGAGAAGCAGAGCGCGTCAGAAGGGGCCTCTCGGGCCAACTAGTCGGACCCCCGGCTCCAGCCAGATCCACTCATGGCATGCCTACCGTGTGCAAAATACCATAAAGTCAAATCCAAACCAGGGTGCCCCGTCTGGTTTCTGCCCCCATTCAAGCCTGGGGATTTGGGGCGTTGCCTCTCCACCCCCCCGAGAGCAAACGCACCCAGCCTGGCTCGAGCCCGCCCCGTCTCCGACTGCAGCAGAAGGGGTCTGCGAGCCTGGCCTCCCGTGGCTGGCCCCATGCATCGCAGCAATAACTTGCCCTCCCTTTGCCTCGCCAGGAGCTGGCCGACTGGGTCGGGGACTACAACGAGCCGCTGACGGGTTTTTCCTGGAGAGGCGGTTCAGAGCGGGAGACAACCGGCATCCAGATCTGGAGCGAAGTCTTCCTTGTGGACAAACCGGATGGGAACAAGGTAAGCGGCTCATTGTGGCTCTTCGCTGGGGACCCGGCAGCAGGCCAGAGGTCTGCTCAGGCCCCCCAGCTGCCTGGGGGACCCCCACGGATAGACACCCCGCCTCCTGCATCTGCTCTCGAGGCCGCCTGTAGCCATCGGGACTAGGAAGCCGGCCAGCCACACCCTCCAAAATTCAACTAGCCCTTAGGGAAGCCACCGGAACGGCCGGCCGTCTTCCGGGAGCTGGTTCCCTGGCGAGCCCTCTTTGCTCGATCCCAATTCTTCACCATTTTAATTTCATTTCATTCCTTTGTTATACTGAACAATTGCTAAGGCTCTCTGGGCAGTTAACAAGAGTTAAAAACACCCGAACAACAAGAATTAACATAAAAATAATCGAGTTCTGGTATTACGCGTGTATCCCACCTTCTCCACCACGAGCATCATGACATGCCTCTCAGGCAAGCTGTCTCTTACGGAGATGTGGCTGCTGCGTCTCCCCTTTGCTGGGGTCCCTGCGGCGTTTGTCTTCTTGAGAGCATCTGTGCTTTGCAGGGGCGCCCCAGAGTTTTCAGGCTGAAGCAGCCATGCTAAATTCAGAGAGGCGGTCGTCCCAAAGCCGAGAGACGCCCCCTCCGAAAAGCTGCACCTCCGTACCCCCATCTCTCCAGGAATACGGCAACATCTCGTCCAGCCAGCCCCGTGCGCACGGCTCGTCCTCTCCCGCCTCCCAGACGGAGCATTTCGCAGCCCTTCCCCACCCCAGAGGTGGAGTTGAGTGCAGCGCTCAAAGTGCCACTCCAGGGCAAAGGGCCCGATCCCCCAGGAGCGAGCTCTGTGCCTTCGTGGTGCACATAAGGCAGGGCAAAACGGGGGTGGGGGGCTTGGACACCTCTGCCGGAAAAGGGGCTTCCCGCAAGGCAGTTGCCGTGGGAGCGGTGAGCCAGAAGCCTCCGCTGTGCTCAGCCGCTTCGTTCGCTTCTGTTTGGCTCACAGTTTAGCGTGTCCTTACCTAATTTCATCCTCTCAGACCGGTATGTGAACCTCCACTCAGCTTGCTTCTAAAATCCACACGTTGCCCAGTTTCACGAGATAATTTTTTTGCATCAAAGATAATGTATAAAAAAGCCTGTATGTAATGTTCAAAATTGCAATATGTTAGGACAGTTAAAAAAACTGTGTATGGTAGGCAGCATCGCATACAAAACTGCACGTGTGCAGAGAGATGCTTGCAAAAAAAGAAGTACATACAGGTTTGGGATGACCCAAAATTAAGACTGGAAAATGAAAAAGAGAAACCAGAACAGAAACGTTTGTCCATACCTGCTTCCAGTGCTGCCCAGGCCAAAGTGAGATGGGTTGAGTTTGTTTCTCCTCTTTTCATGGGGTTTTCCTAACGTTGCCGCAGTCCAAAGAGACTCCAGGCCCAACAACACCATTCTTCCAAGTAGCTCCGCCCATTGGGCTTGCTTGTTCTCTTGTGAACGTCATGAGATCTGTAAAATCCCATCATAGGCCACCCTCTAAATGCTTCCTGGATGCCGAACTGTGTTTTGTCCTTCTGCTCCTCCCTGGACAGCCTCTTCTTCTACACCTTTGCTAACCTGTTATTGGCCCAGTCTGAAAAACAAGTTTCTAGTCCCCATGGGTATGGATCGTGCAGCACCCAGTGAGAGGGCTGGGCCGGTGGTCGGGGGGCCAGGGGCCAGGCTGCATCCCGTGCTGCACTGTTCGGACCCTGCCTCGTTCCATTCCCCACTCGTGCTTCAGGCCCCTCCATTTCCTGCCAGAATTTCTTGCGAATGCGGCTTTTGGAAGCAGGGTTAGGGTTAGGGTAGAGAAGGGGCTTTGTGTGCAAAAGGTGTCCTGGGGGCTGGAGTTTAGGGGGGGGTGCAACAGCTGTGCCCAGCACCTCAGCTCTCAGTGAGGGTGGGGGAAGGGGCGGAGGCTCCCCGTGTCCCCCCTGGCCGGCGGGCGGCCCCAAAACGCTCCGTCTGTCTGCCCTTCTGCGCAGGTGGCCGTGCTGCTAATGGACACGCAGGGGACCTTCGACAGCCAGTCCACCCTGCGGGACTCGGCCACCGTCTTCGCGCTCAGCACCATGATCAGCTCCATCCAGGTAACGGAGCCCGGCGGCTGCGCGAGGCCGGCCCGGCGAGCCGGAGGGGGTCGTGGGGGCACCGTGGCTTGTCTCCCCCCAGCAGACCTTGGGGGTCGAGCTGGACACCGCTGCTCTCTGCTCCGAGGCCTCGCTGGTTAGCAAAGGAGGGCCGCCGTCGGTGGCCGAGGGAAGCGGAGCTGGAATGGGCTCGGGGCGGCTCACCCAGGGGCCCCGGGAAAGCTTCAGAGGGTCCTAAAGCGGTCATCAGAATGAGGGGGGGGCATGCGCAGGTGCTGGGGGGCGCGCCGGTGCTTCCAGCCCGTGCAGCCAAGTCGACTGGCTTTCTAGGAGGTGTCCGGTTGGCAGATGCGACCCCCTGCCCAACACACGCTGGGGAGGCAGGTGCAGTCAAATGGGCAGGAAAAGAGGACACTAACTGGACTCCTCGGGAGTTGCTTGTGCAGGCCATCTTGGGGGGTTCTGGTGCCACCCCGTCCTCTGCCCTGTTCCCTCCTTTCCTCTCCCGCCCCCTCCCCCTCCCCACCTGGACCAGGCCTGGGGAGCACCTTCCTCAAGGGAGCCCGTCCGGGCGAGAGGTGCTCGGAGACCGTCTGGGGCGGGGGGTAGCCCACGCGATCTGCATGGCCGCCTGGCCCGCATCACGGAACGGCGCCTCACACGGGGCAGGTGGCCAGCTGGGCCCTCCGGAGAGTCTGGCTGGCTGGCCCCTCGCTCTGGGGAGCCCGCTGGGACTGGTTGGGCGGCTGGGGTCCCTGGCAGCCCGGGAGGGGCGCTGGCTGTTCCAGAGGAGGGCGCAGCCTCCTGCCGCCATTGGGGGCCGTTCTGGCACCCCCTCCTGCAGCCTCCCGCCTGCCCTTCCCGAGGAACTTGGAGCTGTCCGGAGCCGGGTGACCGGGAGGCAGTGTGTGTCTTTGCCAGGCGGTGCGTGCAGAGCAGGGGGTGTGGGAGTCCTCTGGGCAGGGGGTCCAGAGGGCTGCCCCTTGCCTGGGCAGTGGGGTGGCTGGGCTGCGCAGAGCCTGGCCAGGCAGGTTTGCTCCCCACAGAGATTCGGCTGCTGGGGAGGAAATCGGGGTGGCTAGGGAGGAGGTCCTGCAGGATCACGTACTGGGGGAGAGGCCCCTCCTTGGCCACGGGGGGCAGGAGCAAGAAGGCGGCCTGCGTCCCAGCCACTTTTGCACCCTTTTCCTCACCCAGGTGTACAATTTGTCGCAGAATGTGCAAGAAGACGATTTGCAGCACCTGCAGGTAATTCTCTGGCCATCTCTCCCTCTCCCTCCCTCTCAAGTTTCTGGTCCTTATGGGACACGCACACAGAACTGCTATTTTGTCTTTGTTTCCCCAGACCTTTGAATCAGTTTTATTCTGCCCCCGTGCCATGTTTTGCTGGTCCTACTGCCCTGTTAACCATTTATCCACAGTTTGAGAAGTTGGGCTAACAGAGATGGGCTTTTGTGGACAGCTTTCGAACCTCCCTGCAGGAATTTTGTAGGTCAGCTGCTCCCAAGCTTGAGTTCCCAGGTATGGATAGATTAGAAATCCCGCCACCCCAGCCAGCTGAGAGTGCTGGGATTTGTAGTCTGGCACACCTGGAAGGAACCAGATTGAGAAAGGCTGGTAGGAAAGCCTTTTCACCTGTATGGGGATGCAGGGAATGAGGCAGGACTGCTGGTTGTCTCCTGCATCAAGCCCTCCGGGGAGGGTGCTGCGTTACCCTGACAGGCCGGGAGGCACATGAGGTCCAGCGGACGGTGAGTCCCAATGTAATGGTTGCCGGCCGGCCGTGCTAATCTTTTCAGACCTGGCAAGGGCCTTCCTAGCGTACAATATAGTTCTGAGCAGGAATAGTACAACCACTGCGCAATGCAGCTGTTCCGGGACAGGCGCCTCCCAGTGCCTCCCCCTCGTTCTCGCCCTGACTCTTGGGCTTGCGTCTCATTCCAGCTCTTCACAGAATATGGGCGGCTGGCCATGGAGGAAACGTTCCTGAAGCCCTTTCAGGTAAGAGGCGGAGAGCAGGGTCCCGCTCCGCGTGGCCCCGCACACTCCCACCCCCGCAGACACACGGTTCCGGAGCGGAACCGGCCTGGTGCCTCGGACACACCGTCTCCAGCCCCCTGGAATGGTGGGTGTAAAACGCAGTTAGTTTATTACTCACGCTTACGGCCTCACTTTCTTCCTGGAAGGGACCCAGGGCAGCGCACAGAACCCCTCTCCTCGCAGCTCCACTGTGGGGTCGAGCGTGCTCGGAGGACCAAAATAGCCCCGTGGGCTTCCTGGCTGACCGTGGGCTGGAACCGTGTTCTCCCCGCATGTCCTCACTCATCCCGCTAACCAGCACGCGACACCGTGGCGGGGACCTCCTTGCTCCCAAAATCAAGTGGAGGCGTCACAACCTGCTTTGTCTTTTTTACCGAGTAAAATATGAAAATGCAATTCTAACAAAAGAACCCGCACCCTGATCCAAAGGACCACCTAAAAGCGATGTCTTGATGCAGCATTTAAAGTCCATGTTTGAAGCCCTGTCTTTGGTCTACCAGTGAATGCTGTTAGGCTGAGAACTAGGAACATGTACGGCCTTTTATGCGTTGGCCCCGTAGTTCTGGAATGCTGCTCCAGAGAAATGCACATGGTCTTCCCTTTATTGGCCTTTGGGAAAGCCTGAAAGACCTTTTGGTTCCAGTTAGCACTTGGGTGATTTTATAGGGCTGTGTTTTAAGAGTGGTTTATTTGCCGCTGCTAATTTTAGTATCATTCACTCATTTTTCGGTTGCTTTGCTCGTAATTTTCTAGTGTTGTATTGCACTTAAATACCGTGACATCACTTGGGAGAGGATGCGCACCCTGAAAAGTGGGCGAGAAAGCTATTATATAAACCAAAAAATGGATTTTAAAAAGAGAAGAGAAAACTAAGTTTAAATCCAGTGTTAAGCACACTTTACAGCCCTGGGTGGGAGACCACCAGGGTGTTCAGTGGAAGGTCAGGCTGGAAGTGGAATCCAGAGGTATTGGTAGAAGATCATCACCACTACATACATTTTAATTTGGAAGCAAGTCTTTGCTGCAAAAGGGAAGGAAAGGAGGGAGATCCTGAAATTAAACCAACTGGGAGCTATATGATGTTTGCAGTCAAGGATACATTTGAAATAGTGGCCTGCTTTGGGTAAACCTTGACTGAAGAAGGATTTGGTTCATTTTGTGTGGACTTTTTGCCTTGTCCTCTTTCTAGTCCCTCATATTCCTTGTTCGTGATTGGAGCTTTCCTTATGAATTTTCTTACGGGGCTGAAGGTGGAGCCAAGTTTTTGGAAAAGCGTCTCAAGGTTGGTATGAAAGATTTGATTGCATGCAAGTATTTCAAGATGCTTTGAGCCTCCTATTGGATTAGGAGCAAAACACTCAAATGAGAGAACAATACAAACGGAATCAAAACAATAAGAGAATTGACCTCATAAGGAAAAGCAGCCTCCTGCGGATGAAGCAACCATCTTGCTGACCCAGCATTTATAACATGCCGCTTCTGGTCACTTAAAAGCAGCCCCTGAACCACCAACTGAGAAAGGAAATCACAGTTAGCCATGGATGGCAAAGGGCCCTGTGCCAGGGAAGCCTTTTCGGCCTCCTGGGAGCCACGAGCCACTGGGGGTTGGACCTGCGGGGGCGAGGGGGGCTTTGGGCTCATGCGCTTGTGACCTGCTATCAAGTCATCTCCTAATGGGGGGTGACCAGTCCACTGATCCAATTCGCAGACGATACTAAAACTGGAGCAGTGGCCACAACTGAGGAGCAGGTACTCCAGATCCAAAAGGATCTGGACAGACTATGGAAGTGGGCAGGAGACAACAGGATGGTGTTCCATGTGGAGAAGTTCAAGGTCTTGCACTTGGGGCATAGGAATGGGTGTTGTTAAGTACAGGATAGGGGACCAGTGGCTGGAGAGCAGCACTTGTGAAAGGGACCTCGGGGTGCAGGTCGACTGCAGGCTAAACACGAGCCAGCCGTGTGATGCGGTGGTCAAGAGGGCGAGTGCGACCCTTGGTTGCATAGCCAGAAGTGTGGCTTCTAGATCGAGAGAGGGATTGCTACCACTCTATACGACTCTGGTGCACCCGCTACTGGAGTCTTGTGTTCACTTCTGGGCCTCTCATTATAGGAAGGATATAGCCAGGTTGGAGTCAGTGCAGCAAAGGGCCACTAGGATGGTGGCCGGTTTGCAGGGGATGCCGTATGAGGCGAGACTGAGGGAACTGGGTCTCTTCAGCCTGGAGAAGAGGAGACTTTGAGGGGATCTGTTGGCTATGTATAGGTACATGAGGGGGTGTCACATGGAGGTGGCTAGAGACTTGTTTTCCACTGCGGAGGAGGGCAGGATGCGTTCCGATGGAGCAAAGCTCAAGGTTCAGTTTGGATGCCAGGAAGTACTTTCTGACGGTTAGGACCCTGAGGGTGTGGAATGGGCTTCCACGGGAGGCGACTGAGGCCCCATCGGTGTGGGTGTTCAAGGATAGGCTGGACATGCACATGGTGGGCTTGTCGTGACCAGAGTCAGTTGGAGCTGGGGGTTAGACTAGATGGCCTGGGAGGCCCCTTCTGACTCTCTCTATGCTTCTGTGTTTTTAATTATGCTAACCCTGTGGTGAGTGAAAGCTCTCCAGCGTGTCCCATCCGTCAGAGTCCTGCTCAGCTCTTCCGAATGCAGCCCTGCGGCCTCCCCAGCACGGCCTGACCATCTCCTCACTGGTCTCCTTCTCCTCCTCTTTCCCCAGCAGGGTGGTCTCCCCCAGGGAGCCTGGCCTTTTTGTGATGTGCCCTGAGTGGGACAGCCTCAGTTTTGTCCTTTGTGCTTCTAGGGAAAGTTCTGGCTTGCTTTGGTCTGGGACTCGCCTGTTCATCTTTCCGACAGTCCAGGGTCTTTGCAAAGCTCCCCTCCAGCACCGCGTTCCAAACGCCTCAGTGTCCTTCGCATCAGCCCTTCACACCCGTACATAGTGCTTAGGAATACACGCTCCTGCTTAGATTTCCTCTGCCCACCCCCTATTATTGCCAGTCTTTGGAAACTATTAAAGTTTGCAGGTTTGTCTTTCAGAGGTCTGAAAGCCAAATAAACTGCTCCCTACTATTTTGGCTCCTGGCAAATCGATGGGGAAGAAATGGAGGGAGTGACAGGTTTTATTTTCCTGGGCCCCACGATCACTACAGATGGGGACTGCAGCCAAGAAATTAAAAGACGCTTGCTCCTGGGGAGGAAGGCTATGGCAAATCTAGACAGCATACTAAAAAGCAGAGACATCACACCACCAACAAAAGTGTGTATAGTCAAGGCTATGGTTTTCCCAGTTGCAATGTGTGGCTGTGAAAGCTGGACCATAAGGAAGGCTGAGCGCCGAAGGATTGAGGCCTTTGAATTGTGGTGCTGGAGGAGACTCCTGCGAGTCCCTTGGACCGCAAGGCGATCAAACCGGTCAGTCCTAGAGGAGATCGACCCTGACTGCTCTTTAGAAGGCCAGATCCTGAAGATGAAGCTCAAATACTTTGGCCCCTAATGAGAAGGAAGGACTCCCTGGAGAAGAGCCTAATGCTGGGAACGATTGACGGCAAAAGGAGAAGGGGAAGGCAGAGGATGGGGGGGGCTGGATGGGGTCACTGAAGCAGTCGGCGTGAGCTTAGGTGGACTCCAGGGGATGGTGGAGGACAGGAAGGCCTGGGGGAATGTTGTCCATGGGATCGCAATGGGTTGGGCATGACTTCGCAACTAACAACAGCAACAACTATTTTGGCATTTCCCCTCCAGAACTTTTAGGGTGCCTACAGGCCTAGCTGGGAGCAGAGTCCAAGGGCTGCCCCCCATTCATACCCACTCAACCCTGGCTCATTTTATCAGTCCTTGTTTGTTAAGATTATATGCTGTTTGGGGCACCTCCGGGAGGGAAGGGAGACTTTCAGGCTTCGAAACAAACCTTGCTTGGCTCCGAGTATATCTGAGCCATTCAGCGTACTTTATTTTTCCTGTACTTGGCAAACACGAGATGAATGACTTTGCAGGGATCCTTCTGGGTTTGGCTGGGGGCCCAATGTCATTCTTGTTCTAACTAAGTAATGCAGTGTTCTGAAACTACGGAGAAAGGGTGGGGTGGGAAGAGAGAGAGAGAAGGATGTGGCAGGGACGAGATGAAGGGTGCGCCAGACAGGGGGGTCCTCGTACTACCCCTGAGTTGGCAAATCTTTTGTCCTTTAATGTATTTTCCGTGGTCAGAAAAAGGACTCGAAGGAATACACAGGAGAGCCACAAGTGGGCGACCACCGTGCCCGCCCTGCCATGAAACGCTGGGATGAGCTGCTGGCCTTGTACCATAACAACCTCTCCTAGAAAGCAACCCCCACTTAAAGCTGGGAAAACAGGAAAGTGTAGAGCAGTTTATCGGAAGCAAATCAGATACTGTCCTAGAAGTGTGTGGCCGGGGAGGGACTTCGGGAAAAGTTAGGTGGAAAGCTGGTGTTTTTATTGATGTAATCATGTTTCTGTAAGAAGCAAAGTTCTGGGTTGTGGAAGGTGCTGCAGAGGCTCCGTATGTCCACTGGGTAATTGGCACTAGTTGGCATTGTTCACACGTCATTTCTGATTTTTAGGGGGGTTTGCACCAAGTTCAGCTACAGTTTGGTCTCTGCACTTGGTGTGCATGTTGCTACAGTTCAGTTCTTGTGGAAAAAGGAGACGGAGAGGAGGGACAAGAGGAGAAGGAGCAAGACAGGAAGGAGAGCCGCTCGGGGCATGTTCCGGTGTCTTTTGGGCAAAGCTCTTTTCTTTCACGTGCGGTTGGAGGCGGCGGTGCCAAATCAGGGGTCTGACATCGGTCCTCCCTGAGCTGCAGTGATTCTCTGGCCTTTTCCTTCCCCACTGGCCCCCGTGAATCCCTTGCTCCTGCTCGCTTCTGCCGCTTGCCTCTGCCTTCTTTTTAAAGAGGGGCGGGTGCCTGCAGCCCTCTTAGCATCTTCCCCGACAAGCAGGATGCAGATGGAAACAGAGAGTGCTTTAAAGGACCACGGCAGAGGAAGAGAGCTGGCAGAGCGGCAGGAGGGCTGGCGCTGGCGCTGTGGGGTGAGGAACAGCAACCCATAAAGAAAAGGCATAAAACGAAGTACCAGAAACAAGATCAGTGGCCACCTTATTTTTTCCCCTTTGCAGTTGGAAAGATGGAGAGCTCTGAAAACACTGGGTGGGCCAGGGGAGGGGCGGGGCAGCTGCAGGGAGGTTGCAGTCCACCCTGAAAACCTTTTGAGGGCTGCATCTGGCTGGGGCTGCAGGTTCCTCAGCCAGGGAGCAGACCGCACTGGCCCCAAGGGGCAAAGAGCCTGGCATAGGAATGTTGGAAACTTCCTTGGACGGTGTCAAAAGCCCGCGGGAATATCATCATTGGTCCCTGCCACCCGAAGGTGAACAGAGGTGGGGGAACCCACCAGCTGGGGGACGGAGTTCTCCATCCTGGAGTCTCCATCTCTGTTCAAAATAAAGGGGTGTGTGCGTGGAGGGGGTGCATTTCTAGCCCTAGCCAAAGGAGACACGGAAGAATGTGGACTGTGTCTGTGATGGCTGAGCCACTTGCTGCGTGGAGCATTTTTAATTCTGGTGAGGGGGTTGTGCCGAAGATGCGCATGGTGGAGCTTCAGAACCACTCTGGGCAGAGCATTTGCTTCTGGGGGCAAACTGCCCTGGGGACGATGGAAAGCCGGGGCAGGTGGCTGGTGCAGCGAAGGAGCAGGCAGAGGAGGCCGATGGCCGATTGCGGCTGCAAAATGCATGTAGCTGCGATCGGGCCGCAAACGCGACGCACGAGTTCCCAAGCAAGGAAAGCCCCTGGGAGGGCACCCGAAGGGTTTGAGGCTATCACTCGTCCACGTGGGCTGGTGCAGAGAGCAGGCAAGCCCTGTTAACTCTCCCCAAAACTGCGCGAGTTGTTGGGTGTGAAGGGGAGAGGTGGAAAGGAGAAGGCAAGTGCTCAGAAATTGCGCTTTCACCTCTCTCTGGAAGGGGAAGGCACAGGAGTGGCAGTACCCGGGGCAAGCCGGGGCGAAATCCCTGTTTATGCTCCCCAGGAGCCCCGAGCCGGTTTTCCCACCTGGACCCCTCCAGGTATGTCAGGGCTGCGGTTCTGGGCCAGGTCCCCGCTTTGGGTGCACGGGGCCCAGGTTTGATGCCCGGCATCTCCAGGCGAGGCTGGGAAGGAACCTTGCCGAAAGCCCTGCATTGCTGTGGCTGCTGGTCAATTTCCCCAGTACTGGGCTCGATGGACCGAGGACCAGACTCAGTAGAAGGGAGCTTCCCATGTTCTTAACTCCCATCAACCCCGGCCTGCATGGGGGAAGATAGACATTGCAGCCGGACACACCTGCAGGGTAGAGCGCTAGAGGAGGCTGCTCCAGGACCTCCCTGACTTGCCCAGCAAGCCCCTGACATGGAGGAGGATAGAAACCGAGAACCAGAGTGAGTCAGAAGGGGCCTTCCGGGCCATCTAGTCTGAGCCCCCTGCTCATGACATGCCTACCATGTGCATCTCCACCCTATCCTTGAACACCCTCACCTCCCGTGGAAGCCCATTCCACACCCTCGGGGTCCTAACCTTCAGGAAGTGCTTCCTGGCATCCAAATGGAACCTTGGTTCCCTGAGCTTTGCTCCGTTGGAGCGCGTCCTGCCTTCCTCTGCAGGGGAGAAAAGGCCTCTTCCCACCTCTGTGTGACACCCCCTCACATACCTGTATGTCGCCAACAGACCCCCTCTGAGTCTCCTCTTCTCCAGGCTGAAGGGACCCAGTTCCCTCAGTCTTGCCTCGTGCGGCTTCCCCTGCAAACCGGCCACCAGCCTTATGGCCCTATTCCATTCCAACATGGCTGTAATGTGGAGCCCAGAATGGAACAGAATACTCCAGTTGCGGGCGCACCAGAGTCACATAGAGTGGCAGTAACACCTCCCTCGCTCTAGAAGCCACACTTCTGGCTATGCAACCAAGGGTGGCGTTCGCCCTCTTGGCCACCACATCACACGGCTGGCTCATGTGTAGCCTGCAGTCGACCAGCCCCCCGAGGTCCCTTTCACAAGTGCTGCTCTCCAGCCACTTGTCCCCTAACCTGTACTTATGACGCCCATTCCTATGCCCCAAGTGCAAGACCTTGCACTTATCCACACTGAACGCCATCCTGCTGCCAGGATCTCTGCGGGTAGCAGGTAGTCTCTGGGTTGGTGGGTGGAACTGGATGCGAGCTGCCGAAAGGGAGATCCCGTCCTATGTGGAGGAATTCTCAGGCTGGGAAGAGCAGCGGCTGCCGCCAGACGCCTGCAAGGCCAGGGCAGCAGCGGCCCGTGAGGGGTCCTTGCCCCCCAGCTGGCCAGGAAGGCCATGGGCTTTGATGCGAGTGGAGCACCCAGGCCCGCTTCACAGGCACAGTTGGAAATGTCCCGTGTTGTTAAAAATGGCGCTGCCGTGTTGACTCAGCCCTGCGGAAGCGTTTGCAGCCGCTTTCCCTGCACACGAAAGGACCGACTTCTCCCCGGGTGCTTTCAGGTCTCGGGAAACCAGCACGAAGAGCTGCAGAATGTCCGGAAGCACATCCACTCCTGCTTCACCAACATCGCCTGCTTTCTCTTGCCCCACCCAGGCCTGAAAGTGGCCACCAACCCCAACTTCGACGGGAAGCTCAAAGGTTCGTGCGGCCCCGGGTCGGCTGTACTTGTGCTGTCCTGCCGGCTTCCTTCCCTCCCTCCCCTGAGCAGGGATTCCTGATCACTGCAGGGGCTTGTTGGGGGGCTCATACCAGCGATAATGCCTTGGGGAGGGATTGTGATCCTGGGCGGGGAGGGGGGGCTGCCGTGGCACACCGCGGGGAGAGGTGTCTCTGATTGCCTTGTTCTGACCACATGGCCTGCTTGTGGGGAGTCGGGCCATGCGTGGGTGCCGGGCCTGGGGCAGATGAGTGCGCAGCCAGTGCTGGCCCGGGGGAGCCTCGTGTCGCCCCCAGCCACGGAGCAGAGACCCTTCCACTTCTGCCCAAAGCTCCCAGGAGCCTCCAGGCCAGGAGGAGGGGAGTGGGTGGGCCCCTGGAAGCAGGCTCTCCACCCAGAGGGGCGACCTGTATGAGCCAGGCTGGGCTGCAGGCCCCCTGCCATGTTCTGCAGGAACGCAGGGCCCCCAGCCTGGTGCTGTCTGCTCAGGCGGGCAGCAGTCGGAAAAGTCTGTGTTGGGACGGCAGGCCTTCCGCACCATCCGCACTGCCCCAGTCACCCAAGGGTGCCCGGACGTGCTCCACCACCCAGCTGTGGTCTCGGCGAGTGGGGCCCTCTGCGGGCGTTCTCGGCAGGCCAGCCCTTCCCTTGCCAGCGTGCAGCCTGGAGGGGGCGGGACGGTCCCGGGACCAGAAGCCCAGTGTGGCCGTGCAGGGCGCTGACTGGCCGACCCCTGTGGCGCCGCTGCCTGCAGGGCCCTGAAGTGCTTCTGTTCCCTCTTCATCACTTCTGTCCCCTCCGCAGAAATTGACGAAGATTTCATCAAGAACCTGAAAGTGCTGATTCCGTGGCTTCTCAGCCCCAAGAACCTGGACGTCAAGGAGATCAACGGCAACCATATCACCTGCCGAGGCCTTCTGGAGTATTTCAAGGTGAGGCGGCGGTGCTGGGGAAGGAGTCCTGGCCTGCGAGGCTCCATGTTTGCAGGGAGCATCAGGCGCAGGGCTGATTGGAGAGGCATCTCTGCACGGGCTTGGGAAGGCCACGTAGCAACGGAAGATCGCTCGCCCCGGGCGGGCTGGAGTTGGTCTCTAAGGCAGCGCTTCCAGGTGAACCCGGAACCGTGCAGAAAGTGTGGGAGCCGAGCCAAGACCCAGCAGCCCTCCTGGGTCCGCAACCCCACAGGCGGCCTGGTGGGGCGTCTCATGGGTTTCATGCGTGCCGACTCTTGCAGATGGTTCTGTGTGCAACGGGCTGGAAGGGCCCGCGCAGTGTCCCTCAGCCTCTGTTTCTTGTCCGTTTCTTCCCAGGCCTACATTAAGATCTACCAAGGAGAGGAGCTCCCCCACCCCAAATCGATGTTGCAGGTATGCCCCTGTGCCACGGGGGCACCTGGGAGGCCTGCTGGGCAGGGAGCGCCCTCGTCTTGCCAGCCACTCGGGACGGCCAGCGCGGGGGGCCTGGTGGTCCCGGAGTGCACTTGCAGCGCGGCCCAGCTGGTTCTGCAAACGGGGCGCCAGGCGAGCCCGAGGAAGTGGGCGCGTCACCGAGGCTGCTGCTGTACCGGCCGAGGGTCTTGCTGCCGGCACCGTGCGGGGCGGGGGATTCACAGCCCCACTCCTGCGCTTTCCACTCGAACAGCGGCAATAGGTAGCTGGGAGCAGAATCACAGCGATACAGGCAGGATTCTGCCCTTTAAGCCCGCCGGTCGCTGCTCTCGCCCAGGGCTGCCCTGCCCCAGGGTACAGGTCAGGGCTCTGGCACTCCTCCGTGGCAGCAAAAGAGTGTTAATAAGATTGCGTAAAGAGAAAAGGGTGCTCCACTGCACTCTTGCATGCATTGGAACTCATGTTCCGGCACCTGGATCTGGGAGGTTCCCTTGTTCCTTGGGGCAGTCTGGCCTCCGGCCAAGCGAGCCAGGGTTCTGGTAGGGTGCCCCCCGTGCCCCCCGTTCTCCTCTGGAGGAAGCACAGCACCACGCCCCTTGGGATCGGTGCTCGCCTTCCATTCCCTGCGCCCAGTGTGGGAACCCACAGTCCTCGCAATGATGTCGGGCTGCATCTTCCATCAGCCCCGGTAGCGAGAGGTGGTGGGAGCTGGTCCAGCACATCCGGGGAAGGCCGTGCGGCCCCCTTCCGTGCCAGGAGCTAACACAGCGGTGGGGAGGCCCCGCTGGGGAGGCCCCTGCCCGCCCTTCCCTTCTGGTCCTCGGAAGCCCAGCCCGGCCTTCCCCTCCCCGAGTCCCAACCCTTAGGAAGGGATGTTAGAACTGCCACCCCAAGGACCTGGAGCACCGGAAAGGGTGGCTCCCGAAAGCTGTCACCATGGCCGATGCTGGCCAGGGGAAGGGGGGGAGGAGCCGGCAGTGTCGGGGGCCGCCACCTGGGGGTGCCAGGGATGTGCTGAGCAGTGGGGAGGAGTGGGCGGAGTTCGGCAGCTTTGCAGCACTCAGCTGGGATGGTGCCGTGGGGGCCATTTGACAGGCTGTGACGAAGAGCAAATGGTTTCTGCTGGAACTTGGGTTCTGCCAGTGCCCAGAGGTTGCTACCCGGAGGAAAGGCTGGGGAGCAGCGCCCGTGGAGCTCAGTCGGGGACGGGGGAGGCGCCAGCGCTGCGGTGCCGCCTGCAGGAGCTCCCAGGGGCAGGGCAAAGGAAAACAGCAGCTCTCCATGCGGAGATTCCCTGTGCTCTGAAAATGGCGGAGGCGCCCCTGGTTGCGACTTCACGCTGCGCAGGTGCAGGGGGTGCCCTCGTGGGGAGCAGCTCTGCTCTTGGCTGCCTCGAAGCCGAGCCTTTTGCCAGAGACAAGATCCAGGTCACGGGCCTCTCCCACCCGTAGCTGATGGACCCAGGGAGCGCTCCCTGCGGGCGCCGGTGCTGCTAGTTTGGGCCAGAGTGCGGGCGTGCTTCCCCGGACACGGGGAGTCTGCAGCCGGCGCTTTCCTTTTTGCCTCTTCTCCCCCTTCCTCACTCCCCCACCCCCCCCAGGCTACAGCCGAAGCCAACAACCTTGCCGCTGTGGCCACGGCCAAAGATACATACAACAGAAGAATGGAAGAGGTGAGTGCGAGGCCCGGCACATCCTGTGCCCACGGGTTCTGCCCCGCGGTTCTGCGGGGGTCCCCCTTGGGCTGGAGGGGCTTTTGGCGGGCCGGCGGAGCTGCTGTTGCTTGGGCCGCTGAGGCTGGTGAAGGCTTCCCCTTTTCATCCGCCCAAGGGCTCCTTGCCAGGACTTGTCAATGTAAATCGGAATTCTGCAGCCGGGCAGAGCGAGGGCATCGCCCAGAAGAAATGCGTTCTGCTCTCCCCCAGGTACCTCGTGCGAGGCTGCACGCTTCGGCCCGTTTCGCATGAGTCATTCTCCTCTCAGCTGTCGATGGGCAAGAGGCTTCTGGCTCAGACCTGCCTCCCAGTCTGGCCTCTTTGCTGTCGTTATTATCCACACAGGCTCTCCTGCAGTCATGAGGGACAGAAACTTGGATCGCAGTCCGTCTCTCGCACTGTGAGCAGAGCTGTGTGTGGGGGAGGAGCCAGGCTTGATGGACGCACCCTCTGTCCCTGGCCTGCCATACGGCACCCGCCGTTCTTCACCACCCCTCCAGTGACCCTGCCCCTTCCCCGAGCGCTGCCCGTGCAGGTGCTTCTGGAGCACAATAATTTGTCAGGGGAGGGGCAGGGGGCAGGGGGTCTGGGAGGCACAGACAGGCCTCCCGCTGGGAGCCACCAGCAACAAGGCACCACAGGGAAAAGCAGGCGGGGGGAAGACGCTTGCACTGATCGGTTCCCCGCGCATTCAGCTGTGCTCACAGAGAGGCCGCTCCTGCCTTGAAAGAGGGCTTGGATCTGTCAGCTGCTGAAAAGTGCCGGGACCCGCACTCCGAGGCAGTGACTGTGGCATTGCCGCTTAAACCCGCCCTGCCCGTGGGCGTGTCCGTGAAGCGTGTGCCGGCCTTTCTCCGCTGCCCCGAGTCCTTCACTGGGTCCAGCTGGAAACCTGGTTCAGGAATCTTGTCCCCGTTTGCCGAGGACTCGGAGCAAGTTTCCCTGCAGAGCATGGAGAGCTCGGCTGGACCCGGGATCTGTGTCCCACCCGGGGGGCTGCTCAGGGAAGGTGCCGGCACCCGGGTTTCAGGGTTCCAGCCTCCCCTGCGGCAGACTTCACCCCATTCAGCAGGTCTTCAGATGTCCAGCTGCTTGTGCCTCAAGCTGGGCCCAGCCCCCCGTGGGCAGCGCTCACCGCCTCTGTGCTGCCGTGGCGCCGGGACCTGGGGACCGCTGAGGGCAGGCAGGAGATCGTGGAAGGACGAGAGGACTTCCTCATGCAGTGGAAGGATCTTGGGGAATCCCTGGAGCATGCCGGATCGCTGGGCGGGATAGCTTGGTTCGAGAGCAATGGGTCACCTCAGGGCCAGGAGCTGCGGCTTCCACTTCCCCCGCTCATGGGTTTCCCTTAACGTGAGGAGCTGGGCTGGTGGCGCCCCGCCTTGACCTGTTCTCGCAGGAGTCGGCTCTTCCTGTCGGCTGCATGGCTCGCTCTGCATCCCAGAACCGGAAAAGAATCGCGCCTGCTCCCCCCGGAGCACCCAGACTGCCCAGTCTGCAAGCTCCAAGTTATGCTTCTCACTGTTGCGGAATGTTGAGCAGATCAAATTTAGGTGGCGATCAGGTTCATGTTGACCCTTTTGGGACTGCCCAGCTGTGCACACATCTTTTTTTTAAAAAATCCCAGCACCTGCAGCGGGAGGTGCTTTTGGGGGGGGGGGCAAAAGTGGTCCCCGGGGCTTCCCACATTGGCCCCCCTCGGGGGTACTTTTGGGCGTGGTTGGTGGGGGGGGGGGGGGGGGGGGGGCAGGCCATGGTTCATTGAAATCTGCTGGATCATTGTGTCTGAAGTCCTCACTATAGTCTGTTAACCAACTGCAAAAACCACAATGGACAGCCATGTTTGCTGTTGGCTTAAACCCATCTAGTTTGTTTAAACCACGGCTTATTGCGATCATTTTCACTCCGAACAATGGCACGGCCCTGGCTTGTTTGTGCTGCTGTCTGCCCAGAGGTGCCTGGCAAGAGCAGCCTGAAAGAACCTCGCTGAAAGCTGGCCAGATGCATGGGGGAGAGAACAAAACAAGCCATGGTTTCTTTGGCTGTCTGCTAGGCACTTCGTGGCTTAGGCGACAAGCCCTGGTTTACATAAACCATGGCTGGTGCTACATACAGGTGCAGCCATTGTCAGTCCCAGGCGCCACCAGAGGAGCATTCTGTCATCCCACGTCACCTCCTGCTTTGCCCCCAAACCCTCCCCCCTGTGCAGGTGTGTGGGGGCGACAAGCCCTTCCTTGCGCCCAGCGACCTCCAGAGCAAGCACCTGGACCTCCGGGAGGAGGCGGTGCGGCTGTTCCGCAGCGTGAAGAAGATGGGGGGCGAGGAGTTCAGCCGCCGCTACCTCCAGCAGCTGGAGGCCGAGATCGACGAGCTCTACCTGCAGTTCATCAAGCACAACGACAGCAAGAACATCTTCCATGCTGCCCGCACGCCGGCCACCCTCTTCGTCGTCATCTTCGTCACCTACGTGGTGGCCGGCGTCACCGGCTTCGTCGGCCTGGACATCATCGCCAGCCTCTGCAACATGGTCATGGGCCTGACGCTGATCACCTTGTGCACGTGGGCATACATCAGGTACTCCGGGGAGTACCGGGAGCTGGGCGCCGTCATCGACCAGGTGGCCGCGGCGCTCTGGGACCAGGTGAGAGCCCCTCTGCCTCCGGAACGGAGAGCCCCTCTCCCGTTGGCTGCCTGCTGGGCACCGCTGGGCACCGCTGGCCTCCGGGCAGAGAGCAGCTGGCGGAAGCAGGCGAGATGCCCGGGAAGGTGGCGTGGCCTTTCCGAAGCACGGACGTGGTGGAGAGAGGGAGGGGGCAGGGAGAGGGTGTCGTGCGCCAGGTCCCCCCCCCTTCGCGCATTCAAGCCACAGGCCTTTCTCGCAAGAAGTTCTCTCCCCTCCACATGCCGGCCCAGTAGTTGGGTAGCCTTCCGCTCCGGGTGTCATGTCGTGGGGCCGAGAAGGGCACCCGCTTTGCATGTCTCCGAGGAGCTCCCCAGTTCCAAGCCCCTCACGATAGCTGTGCCCCTCGGTTATTCTGCTGGCGCCCTGGGGAGTCTGCCCTGAGAGCAGCCCCTCCAGCTCTTTCATACCAGCCTCTGGAACTGGCTCCCACCCGGAGCCTCATCCTCCGAGTCCAGATCGGCCTGCCCTGGGAAGGCACACGAGGGCCCCTCATGACCCCAACAGGTCGAGACTTTGCGCACCAGTGAAGTGCTCAGACGAGAGAGAAGCCTGGGTGCAATGCACATGCTCCCCGCCCCCAGGGGCCCCCTGGTCTTCACCGACACAAGCGGATGGGCGCCCTGTCAGGGAGCAACCCAGGGCGGGAGGCCGGGAGGCGCTGCCTCGCCTGGGGGCTGTCGGAAGAGCATTGGCCTTTTAATCAGAGGAGGGGCCGGCCTCACGTCCCCTCGGGGTGTCCTCTCTCTTGCCTGGCACTTTCCAGGGAAGAAACACCTTTCGCTGCTAAAGCAGGTGCTTTGGGTGCAGGTGGTCGGAGTCGTCATGGGCATTTTCCAAACTTAGAAACGGCTTTCCGGCTCAGAAGTGTAAGGCTTTTGAACGCTTGACAGGCCTGAGACATAAATCATGGAAAAGCAGTATTTTTTGTCAAGTGTGTATGTGTAAATTTAACAAATGCATCTCGCACCATTCCTATGGGGCCAAAGCGATAGTCTTGAGAAAATGACAACGGTGTTGTCAATATAGAGAAGCAAAGTTAAGAAGTACATCAGATGGCCTCTTGGGAACAAAAAGGGGCATTTCTAAGCGGTGCTGCTGCAGGGGGGACTTAGAAACATAGAAACAAAAACTGGGTGAGTCCGAAGGGGCCTCCCGGGCCATCTAGTCTGACCCCCGGCTCCAGCCAGACCCGCTCGTGACATGGCTCCATGTGCATGTCTAAGACAGAGGGACCTGCTTGTTTTAAGCCCACATTGGGGTGCCATTGGTGGAGGGAGGGGGGAGCGGGAGGTTTCCAAGGCAGCCCCATCAGACAGTGCTTAACTGGGGATGGGATGGCAGGATCTGTTCAACCTGTTCTTTCTCTCACCTTCTCTTTTGCCACTGCCTTTTCCGCAGGGAAACACCAACGAGGTAAGCCCGTCTCTTGCTTGGCCGAAGTTGCTGGTCTCCCGCCAACATGCGTGCATCCCGGGCGTGTGCCCCCGCTGCTTTTGGGGCTTGTCTTCCACCCTCTTTGGCCCATTTTCTTAGGCCGCTGCTGCTCTGTGCGCTTTTGCTGCAGTGCTTCCAAGCTAACACGTTGCAGCTCATGTGGGGGGGGGGGGGTAGATGTGTGGCCGTCTGCCCCCCCTCCCCCCGCACACACACGGCTTTCTGCAGTTCTAGCTTTCTGCAATCTTTTTAGATTGAATGCATCATAGGAACCGGTGTGTTCCATCAAAACAGCTCTCAACCACTGCAATCCAAAAATAGTAAAATGGTTACCAATATTTTTATTTTTACAAAAGCAGTGGAATATTTCTCCTCCCTGTGCTTCCGTAGGAACCGCTGTCCACGTGTAGGACCCAGCTATTGCAACCGGACGGGACTTGCGTATGCATGAAGGGGTGCTGCCCCCCACCCCCGGACTCCCGGGGCTGGGCAGTAGAGGCCCCATCCTGCTTTCAGACACATGTACCAGCTTGCCAGTTTGAAACGGTGTCACCAGTACGAGTTAGTCCCCCCCCTGCCTGTGACTTGCTGCACAGCTGCGGTGACCAATGGCCTGCCTTTGAACGATTTGACTGTTTTCCTTGTATTACTCCGTCGGGTGGTTCACTTCTGTCTGTCACAGAAAGTGAAAGGTGGTATTCAGCAGCTGAGCAGACCTGAACGTTTGCCCCTTGGCACGATATTATCCAGAAACCGCACTAGCTTCTAGGTCACTCTCCAGGCAGCCCCCGTCCCTTCGAGTGCACCTTTGCAAACCAGGAGAGCTTGGGACTTGAAACAAGCAAAAAGAAAAGCGGAATCCTGCAGCGGATTCGTTGGCTTTTCTCCCCTTGTGTGGGATCAAAGCATGCGCACGGGAGACCTGACCGCGCTTAGCAGGAATGACACAGCAGCTTTGCGTGGCGCCCGGAAACTTCTTCCTTCTGAGCTTTGCATTTCTGTTTGCAGGCTTTGTACAAACTTTACAGTGCAGCTGCCACCCACAGACACTTGTACCACCACGCTTTCCCTGCACCACCGAAGAAGGACTCCTCCGAAGGCACAGAAAAGAAGACCATGTAATCGAGATGCTTTCCATAGAGGTGCATGAAACACATAATTAAACTTGTTAACCATTTTGCATCCGTGTACAAGCCTCTGGCACTCCCGGAATGGAAGGCGGAGGAAACCGATAACCCATCAATGGCTTACGTGTGGCTGCTTTAATTTGGATAATGCCCCACTTGCAAGGAGACGAGTCGGCATGAAGGTCATTCGCTTTACACGGCAGTGACTTAATTTTGGCCACAGACGTCGTACTTTTTGGTTCTTCAGAACACTCTCCCTAGTTTCAGGACTTTTAAGGACTGAGATTTGGGACCTAGAGAAGGGAGTGCCGAGCTGCTTGGGCGGAGGGCTTTACCGAGACCCTGCCAGAGCAGCAGCCACTGACCCTCTCCCCGCATGGGCTCCTCCGGACCCACCCGAGTCCCCTGGGCCATTCATACAACTCCAGGGTTTCAGAGCAAACAAAACCTTAATTCAAGAGGGACCATGTCTCATAACATTCCTTTTACGCACAAAGGTTTCGATTTAACACACTTCTCTTCATCCGGCCGTGAATGACAATGTATTCACTTTAAAAAAGATTGCCTTCGCAGAAGCTGCAAAGATATTTCTTTTGCTATGGTACATTAAGAGATGGAAAGTGTTTTTTTGTACATGTATTTGAGAGTCTCACTGTATATATTTTTGTTGAGTGCATAAGGAATGTGCCTAGTTTTTATTATTTTATTGTCAATTAAAAGTCTGGTTCCTAAGACAAGTACTTCCTCTGTCCCTTCATTCATTCCCAGCTGTTCACAATGAGACACTGCCTTCTGCCCGTCCCGTGGATGACAGTCCAAGCTTCCTTCCCGCTTGCGCTAGACGGCTGCCCTTGCAGCATGAGGCCGGCGCCCTAGCTGAAGAAAAGCTCTGCTCGGGGGGCACAGATTCGGCCATTTGTAAAAAAAAAAAAAAAAAAAAAAAAAACAAGCCCGCCTGTACTAAAACAGCTTCATTTTGAGATTTTTTTTTAACCCCTCAACTTTCAAAAGCCGCTGAAGTACTCGGGCTGCCCCTGAAGAAGAGTAAGCTTAAAACCCCTGTGGCCTTAGAAAAATATTCCATACGATTTTAGTAGATGTCATTTCTTAATCCTGACCCTGCTAAACCCAACTGTCGTTAAACTGCTTAGTTGACAGAACGTCTGAGCCATGACTAGGCATTCGAAGAGGCTTTTGATCACGGAATCACGCTTTAGCCACACCAATAATCTCCATCGTGCTTGTCCTGCAGAGAAATCCACAGAATAGCCGCCTGCCGACCTTCTGCAAGATTTCTGTGATCAGTCCTGGCCCCGCTCCCCACACCCAGTGCAAGGATGCGTATGCAAAGCAAGGGCCAGGGCAGTGCCGGATCCGGATTTATTTACTTTCTCAACCACCCAACAGCTGCAGCACTCCGGGCAGCTCACCATTTCACACACGGGCTTTGTAGGAAATTGGCACCCACTCGCAAGCTAAAACAAAAACAAATTTTATTTAATGTTCAGGTTTTACAGGACACACAAGAGAAGCCGCTTTTCTTATGCGGGCCCCACAAGCGATACTGCTGGCTGCCTCACGCATCGAGGCGTGAGCCAAGTGACCCCAAGTCCTGGCCGCCAAGGCAGCTTTGCCGCAGCCTGGCTGCCGCGGTTGCTTTGGTCATGGCAAGCCGGAGTCCAGACGGCTGGGCCGAGGGGCTGCTCCCTTCACTCAATCCCCAGCAGCTCTCGCAGCCACCCCCTTACGGGCCAGATCCGCCCTGTTACCTTTCTGGAAGAGCGCCACAGCTGCAAGCTGCTCCTGCCAGCCTGCAGGCAGCACCTGCTGGGCCAGGAGCCCCCTGGGCCGAGGGGTGGTCAACGGGAACCGTGCCGAACAGTCACAGTAAGGCAGGACTTGTTTGGGGGAGGGAGGACCGCCCGAAAACCCTATTTGGCAAGGCTTCAGTAAAGGCGCTGTGAGGCTGTTCGATCTATTCCAGCAGGCAGGCTGCTTGCCCTGGATTGTCTGCTGTACGTGGGAAGTGGGGTTCCCTGAAGAGGCTTAACTAGGTTCAGGTCTTCGCTTACAAGGACAGGTATTGTTTGAAAAATAAAATTTGCTTCTGCAAGGTATAACTGTTGGTATAAAAGAGACACCAGACAAAATAATGTGCCTTTTCTTGTCTCTACACTGACTCTCAGAATAAGAAACTAACTTCTTTGTACAATATAACAAATGTCTTTTGTATTCAATAAACATGATACACAAAGGAGATAATTACAGAAGGTGCAAGATCAGTAAAGAGAAAGCTGCCCTTTTAACCAAAGCGCTGGTCACAATTTCGAGAGCACGAGGAGAGGCGGCTAGAAATTCTTGCCGTGCTGCTGCGTGTACCACTGCTGCCTCTGCTTGCGGTTCTCCAGTTCCGTGAGCAGCGCATGCCGGTACGCTTCGTACAGCTTCACTATCCGCTCCAGTTCCTTCATGAAGAGCAGCTTCAGCATCCCCTGGTACGTGTCCAGGTCAGCCAGCTGGAAGAGCTCCCACTTCAGGATGTGGTCGTATCTGTTGCAAAGCACAATGTTACTGAGCAGGGAAGTAATGAAAATTGTGAGCGAATGCCGCTGTGCATGTGAGTTTTCCTCCTAGCCATCGCTGGTTTTGGGAAGACGAGCGTGTGCTTTAAGCCGCTGTGGGCAACCGGCCCACGTTCCGTGCAAAGCCATTAAAATATCAATTACTTTTCAGTTCCAAACAAAACCATTTTTCCAAGAAAGAATGTGAGCCTTTTACTAAGTCGTTTAAAAATGTTACTGGGCAAGTTAGTTAGTAATATTCCACCCAAACACACCACATTTGAACCTGTTCAGCATCTCCTAAGCAGAAATGCAAACACTTTCCAGGGTCAGTTTTTACGCCAGTCGATGAATTAATTGCTGGGGGGCAGGGCAGAAAAAAGGTCCATGGGCAACTGGGCAACGCTTGGCACTCACTTCACGGGGGCCCTGGCGTAGACCTGCAGCCAGTCGGGGATCTCTGCAGTGTGGTACGGATTGGCGGGCACCAGGATCGGCTGGCTTCGCTCCGTCTGCTGCGGCTGGTATGTCACAGGCGGAGGCTGGTCGTAACGGGGAACGCTGCAAAGAGCACAGGCCAGTGGCTTCCACATCCGGAACGGCAACAGAGCTTTTCTGCTAAGCCATTCTTCCCAAACCGGTGCCCTTCAAACATGGTCCCAAAATCCTGCAGCCCGCTGTAGTAGGGAGGGGGCTTCTGGGAGTTGCAGTCCCACACACCTGCAGGGCACCACCTCGGGGAAGGCTGGCCTAAGGGCAGATGATGCTCTTGGGGCAACGAGGACGACACAATCACGGGGTCCCCGATATTGCTGGCTGAGGAAGTGAAAAATCTGCCGGTGGAAATGGACCAGACCGGACAGTGGCGGGCGGCGGGCTAGCCGTGCGAGGGGACACGATCCCTCTTTCTAAGCAGGTGCTGCCGCAGCACAGGATTCTGCCCCACTCCAGAGCCCAGACGGTTCCAGAGGTCCTTTGAATTAGGCAAATGATCTGTAACTGAGGCAAGTGTTCAGTGGCCCGGCTCAATTCCCTGTTACAACCCTCAGCAGTCCATCTGTTCATGGACGGGCTCCGAATGCTGCTCCAGGAGGCCTGTGCGCCTGCCCAGTGTCCCGGCGGCCCAAGCCTGAGGGGCCTGACCAGTGCACGGACCCAGACCCCCCACTTTAGTTCCTTATTACTGGAAAGGCAAAATGAGAGAACGAAATCCATATGCACCTTCAGCGAAGAGGACAGAGACAAAGCACCCGGAGCGGAGTGCACTGGCTTCTAGCCAGGTTTCCTCGTGCTTGAGCCGCTGAAAGCTTGCCATCGGCCCTGCTCCTGCGCAGACCGGCGTGTGGCTGCAGCCCTGTGGCTCAGGAGGCCTCCGTGGGCCAACCCTGCTCCGGAGCACCGAGGATGCGCAGAGCCGGCTGGGCAGGGGGTCCCCACTCTGTCCACTGGGGAACCCTGGCGAGTTGCGGCCTTTGTTCATTTCAGTGCCTTGCTTAGAACATGAGAATAGTGACCAACCCCCTCCCACAGCCCACAGAGAGCAGGCGCATCCTGCGCCCAAAAGAGCTTCTTGGGAAAACAGCATCTTTGTAGAAGAGAGGAAGGGGTGAATTTATATGATGCTTCAACCTGCAATGTTCCAATTCTCCACCGCCATATTCCATTCAGGACTGTAAGTCTGGGGTGGAAGGCGGGCGGGGGCTCCCACACACTGCGGCTCTATGCTACTGGGTCAGGTACACGATGGAGAACGAGGCCTCCCATAACCCTGAACTGGGACGCCGTCCCATCCTTTTGAGCCAACCTGAAGGAGCCTCCTGTCCCAGGGCTTATCTGTCTTCGAAAGGGGACACGCTCGATCCTGCAGGCTGAGATACGTTCTAACTCCACACCGGGGAAGGAATTCCACCACTGTGTGAACAGCAACATGCATGCACTGGAAGCAGCTGGGCTTGTCAGCCCAGGGCGAGGCACGCATTCTACGCGAGAAACTCCGAAGGCAAGTGATCTCGCCTCCGCTGGGCCAGTGCCCGACCAGCCACGTGCTGCGCCCTGCCATCGATTCCGCTCAAAACACCCTGCCACCGGAGAGGCAAAGCTCCGGGTGCAGGGAGCTGAGGTTTCGCGCTCCTCACGTGCGTCCAAACCCAGACCCTCGATCAAAACCTTGATCTGAGCCAGCAGGAAGGCAACTCTCCCTACAGCGCAACCCCTGACATTTCTCTTCAGGCATCAGTCCGACTGAGCTCAATGGGACATCCACACATGGCCGTTTTTTGGGGGACCCCTTGAATTTTGGGGGGTGGGGTGTGCGAGGGAACTGTGGGGCCGCATGCAGCCCACCTCTGGCTGAAATTCCACAGACACGTTACCTGGGCGCACAAGGGTGCTTGTACTGCGCTCTCTTATTGATATGGTCAACATAGTACACGCCGAACTCGGGCGACTCCACACGTTCCCATCCCGGAGGCAGTCCCTCGCGCTCGAGCGGGTGGCTCCAGTGTGTTGTGTTAGTGTTGTGGTCTATGTAGTACTTTCTTCCTCTCAGAGTCCAGTCCACTGACCAGCCGGGAGGGAGAGGGAAGTCTTCGGCACTGTGGTTTGTCAAGTTTCCTAACGACGTAGCAGCTACTCTTCCAATGCCTGGAAAAAGCCCCAACAGGACATCAGGGGAGCAGACAGATTCCCACATTATGCAACGGCTTCCCTCTCTCAGGGCGACAGCCGGCTGCCCCCGGCTCCAGGAGGCCCCTCCTCCGGGTGGTGAGGCCTGGAGTTTCTTCACACGAACAGCCCTGCCGGGAGAGGGGCCCACTGCCTTCCACACCTGCCACTCGCTCCTTCTGCCGATGCAAGCTAGGAATAACCTCGCAGTTGCCCTCACGTCCCATGACAACGAAATCCTGCTTTCACGGCTTGCTTTAGTGCACCTCAATGTGGGGCACAGCTCAGCAGCGATGCTCCTTGGAAAGACGCTTTTTAAAGCTCTGCTGTGCTTCCAGGAAGACTTAGGATGATGGAAGGAAGAGACGCTAACCAAGATTCGAGCATGGTCAGACAAATGTAGCTAAATGTGGGTGAGAAACTGAAAAAGCAGGAATAAAGCAAACCCACACCGGGGGACAGTGTATGTTTCCTTGGCTGAAAAAGCCAGGGGTGCTGGCTTCAGAGCATTTCATAGCAGCCCTGCTTATCTGGAGACAAAAAGATTAAGGAATCTATTTCTGAGATTTCAGAAGACAAATCCTGGAATTAAGCAAGAGTTAGGCCCGGCTTTCCAAGAAATGTGAGGCAGACGGCAGCAGCTCCGACCCAGCCCTGGCTACACGCGAGCGGCTGGCCGGAGGGGAGATCTCCAAGGAGCGAGAGACGCTGCTGCCCAGCGAGTCGGACTGCCGGCCCACCTGCAGCCCCGGGCCTCCTGCTCTGCTTAGCAGTGGTTCTGCACAGGCACCGGGCAGGCAGGGGCCTCGCCCATCACACACCACCCACTGGACAAGAACCTGCAACGCACGTGCTCCACCACTCTCAGCAAAGGAGGCGGAAGATTAATGGGGCCTCAGAAAAGCGATGGTCACTGTATGACGCAGGGCTGGTATTCTGCACCCCGGTCTGTGAAAAAGCGGGGCCAGCCGGCTCCGGGTTTCCAGGGGGAGAGAATGGGGTGGGAAGGGAGCAGTTACAGGCACAGCCAAGCGATCCCAGATTCGTCCAGTCAACGATGGGGAGCCCACGAAGCTGGGAAGGCCACAGAAGAGCTTGCCAGCGTCTTCTCAAGCAGCCAGCTTCCAGGGGGAACTGGCTTTTGCTAAGGTGGGAAGAGAGAGGAAGGACCTTCGACAGCTCCTGCCGATTTGGAGGGAACGCCGCACAGGCAAAGGGCCAGATCCTCATGAAATATTGCCTTTGCCTGGCAGGAGGAGGTGCAAGTGGGGAGTATCACACGTCTTGGGGGGCCAGCTCACATGCCCTAAAATTCTCCCACTGGGCCACCAACATGGCCCTGTTAAACAACGTATGAGGCAACACAGCCGTTCTGGCCAATGCTGTGTCTTGCTGGTGGCCGAGATGAGCACAGATGTCCGGTGTGGAACAGGTTTTTGGGATGCAGGGACAGCAGGATAAGTGCCTAACCTAGGATATGAGATTGGCTAGTCTGCTTTGGAAAAGACACGGGATTTCAGTTCTGCCTGCTCAAATACAGTTGCTTCGGGCAGTGCTAGAGGAAACAACATGCCTGCCTACCGAGCTCAAGAAAGGAAGTTCCCTTTTCCCAGAGCGGGCTGCCTATCTCCGTTCCAGGCCGAGGCCAGGATCCACGCGCCCTCTTGCGCTGCAGAAGCACTGCCAATCTGGCCATTTCGCCAAGATGCTCCGCGGAAGCGGCAGCACTTCGTGCGGCTTGGCCTCTCCCTTCTCTCCCACAGCATCATGTTTCCAAGCCTCAGCGCTGACTGTGACAGCCGCCAGGCAGCCCCATCAAACCAGCCGCTCACACGACCGAGTTCCCACCAGCAGAAGCCCCGAACTCTGCCCAGGCTCATCAGATGTCTCTCTTGCTCGTTGGTGGGGAAAGGCAGACCGATGAGCAGGGGCTACGAGGAACAGATGGGAACAGCAGACCTCCTTTTCCCTGCTGCTGACTAAATAAGCCACATACACCAAGGGTAATTCCTCAAGCAAACCAAGATGAGAGTTTACATCAATCAAATGTGCAAACATTTAATTTGTCACAGGATACAAACAGCCTCTCTTTGAAACCAAGACCAGCATCATTTCTAATAAAAAGCCATCTGCAAGAAAAGCATTTCTTTCCCAAAACAGTTTCATACTTGAGGTCAATAACCCCAAGGGTTTGCATTCTTCCCTGGGTATTTAATTTTCTCCTCTGTAAAACGCACAACTTTTCTGCAAAGCTAGTTGAAAATGTTGCATGCCTACGTATCAGTTTGTTGACATTATGTCAAAAAACCCACATTTTACAGTTGCAGCATTTTTATGTTATGACCAGCACTGATTGCACAAATGATACTCAAGAATTCCCTGTGTCTGATGAACTTCCTGCTGTAAACACAAGAAAGCCGCATGAAAAGTTTGATCTGGAATGTGTCACACCCAGGAACAGTTCCATCTGGTGTCTTGTTTTCCTCAGAAGGCTTTGTTCAGATTAAAGGCCCAAAATCCCCTTACTCTTCCGTGAAGATATGAAATGAACATTTTCCTGAGGGAATTTAAAGACGACGGAAGCATTGTAACTGTACCCATTGGGCATCTGTGTTTTCTCTCCTCTCCTGCTCTGAAAACAAGATTGTAGGAAATGCCCTGGAGATATCTGAACGCTGCTTTTGTGATTATACCACAGAAGGCAATGCACACTGATTACTAGCCCCCAGGAACCCTTTTCCTCCTACCCCCTACAAGGCAGATCCCACTCGCTTTACAATACTGGCCCGCACAGACCAAAGGTCAGACAAAGAGCTTGGATGTTCACGTACTGAGTGCAGTTCACACACCCCAGGTAAAGTGAGAAGGGGTCCGCAGCACTGTTACACTGCCGCCATTACAGAACCGCCACCGCGTGCGCTTCAGGAGTGGGAATCCGAGTGACGAGCCCGTGACACTTGCCTGAACTACGCCTTCCCTGCTTCTGCGACATCCGTTGGATGAGGTCCGTGCTGGGCTCATAGTATCGGTCGTCCTCCTGCGCGTGATCCCCCAGCCGGGGCCGCCGCTGACCATTATAGAAGTGGTCATAATAGTAACGGGATCCAGCATCTCCGTTTTCAGTAACCGAGTTGGCCTCTGTTAAAAAGGACTGCGAAGATAATCCGTATTCCCAGGGAACCTCGGCCAAACTTCTGGCAAAGCAGGAAGGGGCAGAGAGTCTGTGGCTTTCACGTCTTACTATCTCATGAGAAGGCCTCTGTACCGGAGTCCTAAGGAAGCTCTGGTTTCTGGAGACGGCGCCATCCCCACCGGCTGAGTAGGCGGAAGAGCCCAGGTCTGGAAGGCAGAGATCTGTTCGTCTGGGGATCGTGGGACCGTGACGGATGAACGAAGGCATCAGGTCTGTAACAGAGCGTTGCAGTCAAAAACAAGCACAGGCGTCTCTGGATATTTATCAACTCCAGCAGAAGCCAAGTGACCTGATTCTCCTTAAAATACCCTTCAGTGATTCCACCTCCAACAACGCAGCAAGAATTCATAGCATTTCAGCAAGAATGCAAACTCTATACACACCAACAAGCCTCGAAACCCCCTTTCCCTTTGTCTTTATGTGTAAGAGGAATTAAGAACAGACAAGAGACAGATGACAACTGCTCATTGCAACAATACAAGTTGACATAAAACGCACACGCAGACACCAAAGGAGACATTTGTGGGAAATTCAGAAATAGAACATACACTTTGATACATGTGTAATCGTGGTCTAGCGCAATACTAGATGGCTACTGTACAGATGCACTTACAACGTCCTGCAATGCGCATGTTCACCGTTCAGTATGGAATGCCTGGAGCTTTGCCTCCATATTGTCATTATTCTAAGGAACGACAAGTTGCATGAACATACTTTGCTGAGATGCCGGCTTTGAATGTGTCTGAATATAAGACCTGAACAATACTCTGGGGTTAATTTAGCTTCTCCCTAAGGCACATAATAGTTTCAATATTTTGGAGCTGTTGGGAATATTTTTGAATTATTTATACGGTAAGTAAAATCGTTACAGATTACATTTTTAGTTTACAAAATATGAGGTATCTGGAGTGCTCACTGAAAGAGAACATGCATTGGGAAGTGGAAATGAGTCAAATGAACATGCTAAATCAGATAACATTGTCTAGAACACTGGAACTCGTGTTCTGCTAGCTAGTTCTGCTTTTCCCAGGAATCCCACATCACTCTGACACGGTGTCTGTGGGGACGGCTGCTCCTGGAAGCTTCTCTCTAAGAGCTTGTCAGGCTATCTGCTCCTCCTGATATTTATTTTAGGTTTCAGAAATTAATAAAATGAGAGCCTTGCATACACATATTGCTGTTCAAATGTGAGCAACCACAGCCAGGCAGTGCATCTCACTGTGACACGCGTACTGTCTGGTTGTATGTTCGGAATGATTTGCCTGGGCTGGTAACCATTTGTCCAGGGAGAATGTGCAGGAGAACTTTATCTGTATTTCTCTGAGCATCGCCAGTCTTCCTCCAGTAGAACTTGTATTTTTTGTGGGAAATATGCAATCCAACATTTAGCGCTCCAGCTCCACCTATGCTCTGCACTCAGCTGCTTCTCTCTCAGTCTGCCTTCTGTGAAAAGAGTGCTGGCGCAGGAACTGGGGATTCAGAAGACGAGTTCTGCTTCTGAGCGAAGATCCCACCTCGGTCTTGTGACCATACTTCACAACAGGCCAGGTCTAGCACGGCAATTGTTTTGTGAGAACACGCACAACACCTGTTCAGAATTCCAAATGTGCTCCCCAGCCCCAAAAGGCTGGGGACTCCTACCCTGAGCATAGCATCAGGTATGATGTGCTCTCTGACAACTTCTCCCTTGCTATGAAAGCACCCAAATATTGAGCAATGCTCTGCAGTAGGAAGTTGAACCAACCCTGAACCTAGAAATCAATTTGTGGTACATGGGATCTCTAGAACTGAGCTTGGAGATTATTTCTTCTGCTTGTCTTGAATCTGAATTTATTTCACTCCACTTCCATGTTGTGGGCAGGTTACAAGTGCACATGAGCCAAGAACAAAATCAGTAGATGAGCAAATGCTCAGAAGGGTCCTTTTGAGGCAGGTAGGAAAGACTGTTATATTACCATGTACCAACAGCTCAAGAAGGGAGAAAAGAGCAGGAAGATTACTATTTATATAGAAAAATGTATGTTCACAGTGATTTACAAAGAACTGCTCTAGGATTGGTAGTTTGTGTCTCCTTTATTTTACTTGCGGTCAAAGTACAAACTAGCTTCCTGAGTTGAAGACAAAGAAAAATGCTGATCCAACAAAAATCTGGGCTCCTCCAAAAACTCTAACAACATCTTTCAAATCAGTATGACCTATTTGGCTAATTGAGAAAATCATCTTTCTCAATTTTTACTGCTCCTTTTAACTGCTCCTCAGAATAGTTTGAAATACTGAGAAGGCAAAGGAAGATTCAGAGATGTATCAGTAAAAACATAAAATAATCTTGTTAGATAAGACCACCACATTTATTTTGCTGTTTCTGTCAACTGCAAGTCAACTGGAAGCTCACAAGCAGCTAAGCGCATGATAATCACCCCATTCTCTCCCAGTCACTTGGCACTCTGAGCTTGGAGGTTTCAGTCTGATGTCATGTCTGCTTTTCATGCACGTATCTGATCATTTTAAAAAGCTATTTGCAACTATCAACTTAACCGAAAGTTATGTAATTTAGTTATCTCAGTCCTGAACCTCTGGCCAATCACCTTTAGCTGGTGCCCTCAGTTTTGGAGTGGAAGAAAAAAATCTTTGTATAATCAGTTATGATCGCAACTGCAGAAACAGCAACTATGCTTTCTCTCCCAACCACTGGACACATTTCCTCGAAAGGCAGTCATTACGGTTCACTCCCAGGTGAGTACGCATCCCAACTTTGCCCAGTCTGGTGCCCTCAAATAGGACTGGACTCGCTTTCTCGGCATTCCCTTATGGCTCTAGTAGAACACACCTGGAGAGCTAAGTTGGCAGAGCCTCACAACACAGAATTACAAGCAAGGTGTCTTCCAAATGAAAAAAATCCCCAGAACGCTGCAGGCATCCTTCCCCCAACCTGATGCCTCCAGATGTTCTGCAGCACAAGTTCCTTCACCCCATCCCTTGGCCATGCTGATGGGGGCAAATGTGAGTTACAGGCCAACATCTCTGATCCAGGTTGAAGAAGGGTGTTTTAGATGACCATCTTCATAAGAAAGCGTCCCAAGTGTGGGAACATTTCAGCCTTCGTACAACAGCTCATGAGAAAGGGGGTTCACTTCAGAGCAACCATGCCATAAATCCAGCTGCAAGGCTCCTTTCTATGCCTTTGGAAGGGCAGAATAAAAGCACAACAAGAGGAGGCTTGACAGATGCAATTCCCATCATCCTAGACCACTGGCCATGTTGAATGGAGGGGGTGTGCCAGCGGATGCAGTCCCAGCAACCGGTGGGCACCAAGCTGCCTCTCCCTGCTCTGAGATGACCTCCCTGCGGGAGAAACGGCCCGTCCGCCGCAAGCCAACCTGGCCTTCCCAGATCCCCCGGAACTCCCCAGCCCAGCAGGCACGGCCAGCACAGGCAAGGAACGGGTGCTGGGCGGCGAGCTCCAAAGCCTCTCCCGGGCGGGAGGGCGGACCGGTGCCGTCCGGAGAGGCTCCAGGCGGGAGGGGCGCCGCGCGTGGCCCCCGGGGGCCGAGCCCGCCCGCCCCCCGCCCGCCCCACCCCCCGCGCCGGGGCCCCCTCAACTCACTGCGGAGCAGCGGGCTCGTCTCCTTGATCACGTACTTGCCCTGCACCTCGCCGGGTTTGGAGAGCTCGGCGCGCGTTTTCTTCCGCGACAGCATCCCCGCCCCGCCGCCCGCCCGCCCGGGGCGCGGCCCGGCCCTCACAGCCGCCCCAGCGGCCTCCGCCGCCCCCG